GGGCTGGCCCTGGAGCCGGAAAGACCTTAAGGTCTGCCTCAGGGATATACTAACCAGAGTGATCAAGTTACTTAACCCTTAGGTTCTTTGGGCAACTCTCTAAGTCACAAAGAATGTGCCGACCTGCACTGAAGTTCCCACTTCAGGAAAGCTCAGGTCCAGAACCTATACCATCCGATAACAAAGAGAATCCAATCACAGAGACTGTGGTCTATAGAGTGGGCGAGGTCGTAAGTGGCTTCTCTCTTGGTCTCCAAGTCGGGGTGGGGGAGGAACCTCAAACTAGCACGGATATGACCCTCTCCATGCAGTTTCTTTCTCAGACTCGGGAGTTTCCCGACACAGTAGGCCAGTCCCTTTTCTGAGTTCCCCAATTCCCTTTCTCGGTTGTTTGTGAAATCACTTTAGAGCCTCAGGGACTTCACCCCAGTAATTTTGGAGGAAATGGGCGTTATCTTCACCTTGAGATTGATTTTTAGAACTCTTTAAGCATGAAGTAGGGCTTTTTGCTCCCCTTGGACAGTGAGGTTGAAGTACCCAGGAGCCAGAAGAGTCCCAGAGTGAAGTGCCCAAAGGTCGCAAGGTAGTCAGAACTCCAGAACTCCGGTCAAAAAAGCTCCAGGAGACCCCAGATTTCCCAAGGATTTAACCCACCCTGCCCTCACCGCCCCCACCCTGCGTCCGCTCTCGCGAGGGTTCAATTCTCTTCGCCTTTGTTTTTCTTTATTTCTTTATTTCACATACACATTAGCCATTCAATGGAGAAGCTGGAGAGAGTCAGGCAAAGATGGTGTAACAGAAGCGCAGTGACAGGGGCCAGGGCGGGAGAAGGGTCAGGGAAGGGGAGGGGGAACATAAGGGCTGGCTGCCTACCTGCATTCCGCTAGGACACTGAAAACCCAGAAAACAAAACAGACAGTAAACTACCCTTGTTTCTTATGTATCTCAGTGCGGAGACGGGGAAGGGAAGGGAGGGGGACCAGGCTGAAGGAGGAGCAAAGGGACAGGGGGATGCTAAGGGGAAGCACACCAAATCCATTAGTACTATATAGAGATACTCATATATACTGCGTTTCTTAGCCTAAGAAGAAACTTGTTTGACGGGACGGGCGGCTTTGCTGTCCGCGATGCTGGTGCTGTCCGGGCGCATGGATCTCCGGGGAAGGGGGCGTGAAAGGAAAGGGGGTAAAGGGCTATAGTGCGGCTGGCCCAGGCTGGCGAGGGGAGTGGTGTCCCGAGGAGTACCCCGGGGCTGGGGTGGGCTGGGGGCCCTTGGATTCTCCATTGGGAGGGGAGGGGGACAAAGTCCTCTTGACTTTATTGCTCCTTTTTTAGTGTGTAATTTTGTTCAGTGTAGTTCGGGTCGGGCGGAGGGTCTGGATTAGGAATGGGAATAAGGATTCATCTGATCATCTGGTCCACTCAGCCCCTTTGGGAGCCAGAGCTCGGCGTCCGCTCCACCAGCACGGGGGAGGGGGGGTGGGAGTGAGGAGAAGGCACTAGGTTGGCCGGCCAGCGCGGGGTGAGGGGGGTATAAGGCAAGTCCATCGGGTTGTGGTGCGTGCGTGCGTGTGTGTGTGTGTGTGTGTGTGGTATGTATAGGTGGGTGTGGTAGGATTGGGCGGGGGGGGGGAACGATGGGGGGGCCGGTGTTATTTAAGTTTGCAGGTTTGGTCCTTCCCTGAAGCGTCAAACCCTTTCCACAGCCTCCGGCGGGCGCTCTGTGCGGCCGGTCTGCCAGGGGTGCTGAGTGGGGCGGGGTTCAGAGGGGGGCGCCGGGGAAGGGAAGGGGAGAGGAAACTAACCAACTTGCAGAGCGCTCCCTGGACAATGCTGGTGTGGGGCAAGTTGGCGTCTGGCTCAAAGAAAGGCGCTCGAAGGGGTGGCGTCGGTGACTGGACACTGACCTGTGCAGGGGGCGGGGACAGGGGGAGGGGCCTCTGTGTCCGGATAGGGGGAAGGGGGTGGCCCCTCGCCAGGGGCCCCCAGGAGATCCGCGCCAGCCCGGGGGCAGCCGCGCCCAGCCGCAGAGCGCAAACCGCTGTCCCGTGCGTTAACATAACAAAGGGCTATGCGTGGTTCCTAACGTGCGGTATGATACTTAACTGGTTCATAAACTGACGTATAATAGAGTTGGGTGGGTTTTTTTAATGTACTTTATAATGTACAAAGCACCAGGATTTTTTTTATTTTTTTATTTTTAACTTTTTTCTTTTTAAAAATTTTCCTCTCGTCCTTTTCCTCTCTGATTCTGTGATGTTTAAATGTGGTTTAAATGTGGAAATCCTTCCTTCAGCCCTCCCACCGACCCCGAGAACAGACGGCGACGCAGGGCAAGCCCCGGATCAGCCTCGTCCACGCAGGCAAACGGCTTCAAGAAAGAAAAAAAGAAACAACCGAAAACGAACGAACGAACAAAAAAAAAAACAACGAAAAAAAAAACAAACAAACGGAAAACCCACTTGGGCGTCGGTGCCCGCGCATGGCGGGCGGCCCGTTTCTTTAGTGTCCCCAGAGCCGCGAGGACATTGCAACAAAAATAGACTTTTTTCTTCTTCTTAACAATCTCTAACATACAAAGATAGGAAAACTCTCCAATGCATTGCACTTGGTTCAATGAAAAAAAAAGTTCATTCCCCCGTATATATATTTTTGTGTTTTTTTTAAAAAAGGTTTTTGTGTTTTTCTTTTTTTTTTTTCTAACAGTCCCCGCTTCCTGTCGCCACCGCCGCCTCCTGCCCTCAAACCGAAATGATGGTAATCAGGGAAACAAACGGATTCCATGCAAATCCCCACCCCCCCCACCCCCCCCATTGCCGCGGCCCGCTTCTATCTTGCTCTACCATCCCCCCTCCCCCGGCCCCCCAACCAAGACGACTCTAAGTCGAGACTGTCTTAATTTTGGGGTTCCCTGTACCCTCCCTTCACCTCAGACTGCCCCCCACCTAGGCTGGGCAAGGAGGTGAGGCACACGCAGCTGGCCTGCAGCTTTATACCTAGTGCGAGGAGGGAGCAGCTGAGGCTCCCCAAGATCCCAAGCCAGGGCCTGGCTCCGTGAGGTTAGGGACACATACAAGACCCAGGCACGGAGGTTTGTGCGTGGCAACGATTGTCTGGGGGGGAGTCCCCAGGAAAAGGGGTGGGTAGGAGTGGAGACAGGGAGGAGGCTGGACAGGCCAGCTTTAGGCTCTTCCCTCTCCTCTCCTTGCTGCACGTCTGACCCTGTTTTGCCTACCGAACTGGAAAATCATTGCACTTTGACCAGGCATCACTCCTGGCCCCAGCCCGGCCCCAGCCACCCCAAGCCAGCTCCTAACACCACCCTGAGTTGGAAGAGGAGGCAGCATTTACAGGTAGGCCACAACCCCCAATTCCACCCCTCCTCTCTCCTCCCTCTTTCCTGGTCCTTTTCCAAGGCTGCAGATAGAGACAGACATACACTCCCCTTCAAAATTTAAAACCCTCTTGTGGCTGAGTTTAGGAGGTGAGGGCCATCCTCAGCTTTCCTTATGGGTAGGTCTGAGGTTCCTAACTAGCTTTCCTTATCCCCTTCCTCCTCCACTCCTCTTAGGGTTGTCCTAACCTCTCCTGATCATTACCATCCACAGCCATTAACCAATGCAAAACCACCACCAATAGAGCCCATGGCTGACCCCAACCCGGTACATGTTGGACAGAGGCTCCCAACCTGTGCTTTGTGTTTCCATAGAATGTGTGTGAGAGAGACAAGAGAAGAAAAGAGGAAGAGAAGAGAGGAGAGAAGAGAGGAGAAAGAGAAAGCTAGGAGGGAGTAAGGCACAGATAGAGAAGTCACACAGAGTGAGAAGGGAGTCCTGGAGAACCTGACCTGGAGCCTGTCTACCTATGGATGTTGTGTGGGCTTTGGGTCCCCTGACCCCTGGCCCTTTGCCCTTGCCCAACCCAAGATCATGCCCAGTCAAGAGAGGAGAAAAATCAACTGGTTGGCTTTTGGGCCTCTCTCCTCAGTCTGAGCCCATCCCTGGGGAAGGGGGGGACAGAGAGGGGCAGCTTTCTAGGACATGTTGATTTCTTTTTGTTCCCAATTTGATAACAATTTCCCAACTAAAACAGGAAAAAAAATACAGCTAAAAACTGGCTAGAGGAAAGCAGGGAAGGAAAGAGGGGGTGGAAGAGAAAAAGTAAGGGAGAGAGAGTAAGCTCTGGAATACTAAACAAAGTACACCACCACCCAACCATTACCTCCAAAGGAACGTAAATTGAGAGCAAGTCTGTGAGCACAAAGCCTACCTAGGGTAGATGTGACTTAGCATCCCAGCCGAAAAGCTCTCAAAAGGCGGGCAGCCAGCTGTGGACCTGGGGGCTGGTGAGGCTGGCTCCTCCTCTCCTCCAATCCAGCTTCGAACTTCACCAATCCAGCTGATGCCCTTGATGTCAGGCCTTTTTGGCCATCCCAGAAGAAGGCCACAGGCCAGGGCTATTAAGCCTCTCTGGTGATTTTTCCTGGGGGTTATTTTTGGTGGGAGAGGGTATGTGGAAGGACTGCTGGTGTCTTGGAAGAGCTGAGTTGGAGGAAAAGTTTAGAGGGTGAAAAGAGCAGGGGAGATACTTGTGGGGATGGGCTAGTTCTCCCTTTGCTCAGACACTTAGAAGCCCTGTCTACCCAGAGTCCAAACTCTAGTCTGGGCCTCACTCCTTCCCATCTCTTTTGGGCCCTGTCTCCAGGGGGCTGAGGGAGAAGGCAGGCCAGTGCAGAACAATGGAGCCTCCAAGGCAACAGGGGGGTGCTTATGAGGGGGGACAGCTGGCTGGTCCTGTTGAGAGCATTTCAACTTGTTCCTATAGACTGTACATAATGATAAGATGACATAAAAGCTATCTTCAAGGCTTGTGTGGGGTAAAAGTGACTCTGGGGAAGAGGGTACAATATTGGGCTAGGTCAATTCCAGGGTCAGGCTCTGCCTCTCTTCAATGGGCTCCAGCTGACTGGCACCCCCCTCCAGGACAAGTTCATATCAAAACTTAGACCCCTTTACCCTGGTGCATAAGAATAAAAACATAAAACAACTTCAGTGGTTCCAGTAAGGCATCAAAGGCCTTACAGGATCCCTGGCCAGGCCTAGCTCTCTGGGGCTCTTCCTTCCCAGGCCTTCAGGTCCTGGGTGCTAGAACAATGGAAAGAAAGCACCCTTACACACATACCCCAACCAAGGTCAGATCAGGATCAACTGCCCATGCTGGAGGAATGGGACCAGGCTAGGAAGGGGGAAAGGCCAAAAAGGGTTCAAGACCCTTGGAGATTTCTATCAAAACACCTCACTGAAGCCAGTTCTTCTAGCCCCAAAGGAGCACCAGGCCTGAGGTGTGCTGGGGAGGCGTGCTTTGTCATCTACCAAAAAGACAACCTTAGGTAGGAAGGGCAGAACCTGGGACCCTCCTAGCCAGGTTGATTATGCATTGGAAAACTTTTCAACTTTCACTCCATTCCCCTTGGCTTTTGCCTGGGCTGTAGCCAGGAGGCCTCAGTGGGTGTGTGTGTGTGTGTGTGTGTGTGTGTGTGTGTGTGTGTGTGTGTGTATGTGTGTGTGTGTGTATGTGTGTGTGTGTGAGGGGGAAGGGATGTACAGGTGAAGGGAGTGGACAGGGGACTGCTCCTTGTCACCCTTTTTTTGTTTGTGTTTGTTTTTTTCATTTTCTGTTTTCCCCAGTTTTCCTTTCTTCCTGGCTGCTGGTGTGTGGCTCCACCCCAGGCCCCTTCTTCTGGGTCCTGACAGCTGGGCTGGGCTCTGTGGGTGCCAGAAGGGATCCCCTGGCAGGAGAGGGTAGAGTGGATGATGACTTTTAAATTTTTGCTTTTTGGTGGGGTGGGACTAGTCGGGCTAGGCTGAGCTGAGCTGGGCTGGGGGATTTTTCCATGTCTCAAATCTCTTCTTCCCCCTTTTTCCTCTTCTTCCTTTTTCTTGTAGATCTCGTCAGAGGAACCAGGACTGGAGAGGGATAAGAAAGGACAAGAGAATGAAAATGTGCTGGGGCTCTAGGCCAGATGGCTTCATGACCTGATCGCCTTGGCTAGTTTGCCCTCCTCACAGGGGCCTCAGTTCCCCTCCCCTCATCCCAGGGGGCTAGAGCAGTGATGCACCCTAGAAAAGAGTCACAAAATTACCAGTCTATCTGGACCCCCCACCCCCTTCCCAGATGGCCCCCTGCCCCCAGTGCCAGGGAGCCCAGCTGGCCTTCCTGTGGGCACTCTGCCCAGTGGGTAGGACCCCCATAGCTGGAGCTGGCACAGGCCTGGGATTTGGTCACGTTTCCAATTGTTTGGGTTTCTGTGCGAGTTCTGGGGGGGTGGGGGTGGAGAGAAAAAGGATGCCAGGCTGGGGCTTTTGTCCCTAGGGTATGTGTGTGTTGGTTGGGGGGGGGGGTGCAGCTTCTGTTCGATTTTCTCTCACTCTGTCTCCTTGGATTGAAAGCTAAAATTCCCGTCTGTACATCACAGAAGAGGCCCCACCAGCTGAAAGGTTAGGGGCATGGGGTGTGTGTTGGGAGGGGGCCTGGGTGAGGCACCACATGGCACTGATACACTCCCTGGCAGTGCCAACCCCAAGGGGAAGGGGCATGTCACAGAGCCTGTTACCATCTGCAGCCTCCTGCTTGCACAAGTGAAGCTGCTTCCCCCCCAATTGCGCCAGGATCCTCCTCTTTCAGGACCTCTGGGAATCCATGAACTGGTGATTCCCACGGTTAGCCAGCAGGGGGCACTACATTCCCATAAAATCTTGCCTTGCGGGCTTCGGCACCCAAGTGCAAATGGAATTATTGGTTTGTCCTCAATAGACAGAACCTCCTTATCTCCCCCCCCCGCCCAATCCCTTAACTGCACAGAGCTACAGTCCTCTCACCCTTCTGTGGGAGAGGAGGCAGTGGGTGGCGAGGGATTCCCCACTTTCCTGTGGGTATCTTAGTCTTATGGCTCATTTGTCTGTGGCGGGGCTGGGAGAAATAATACCTATGCTTTCTGGGCTGCTATACTCCCCACAAGTACCCTGGCTGAGGTCAGCTTGGCAGCTTATCCTAATCATAGGGCTACTCTTTAGGTAGGGGAAAGATGGAAGTTCTATGTTTAATTCATAATTCATATTAATAACTGATGAGTAAGAATGATTAATCACTAGTCATTCATATTTTTATAGTGCTTTAATGCTTATGTAGCTTATAAAGTGCTTTCCACACTGTGAGGGAGGTAATGTAAGTTTCCCATTTTATAGATAAGGTAGCAGACATAGAGGGGATCAAGTAACTCGCTTAGGGACACAGAATGGAAGAGTGGAAAGTCCTTTGAAGTCAAAGGACCTGAGTTCCAATTCTGCTTCTGAAGAAGACTACCTCTGTCGAAGACTCCCCTCCTTGGACCCCAGTTTCTTCAGATGTATAATGAAGGAGTTCAAAGAGATGGCCTTGGAGGTCCCTTTCATCCCTAGAACTATGATTCTATGGTCACACATATCTTAAGAGTCACAGTAAAGAAATGAACCCAAGTCCCCAGGAGTCTTCCCACCACGCTGGGTTTATAGAAGCCCTCACTGGGAATCCGGGGAGACCGGATGGGCATTGTCATCTATTTGCTGATACCAGCACATGTGGAAAAAGCTGAAAGAAACTAAGTTTGTATATTGTCATTCTGCCAGCCCCATTAGATTGCAAGCTCCTTGAGGTCAGGGACTATCTTTTGCCTCTTGTTGTATCTCCAGCTTAGCACAGGGCCTGGCACATAGTAGGCACTTAATAAATGTTTAGTGATTGATTGATTGAAATTGCCTATAGATTAGGATGACCATCTAGGGAGAAGGAATAGCACTGAGGGGGCTGAACCCCCGGAGGAGGAGTTCCTTATGTCAAGAAGCAGGATGAGGGAAAGATGGACCTGACTAGGACCCCTTTTATTGCTAGAATCAAAGAACTTAAGAGTAGAAAGGATCTTCCAGGTTGGAAATCATCTAGGGTCCCCAAACCCCCTCCCATTTCACTGATAAAGACCAAAGCTCAGAGAAAAAAAGTGACTTGTCCTGGGTCCCAGGCAGTAAGTGGCAGAGCTAAAATTTGAATGCAGATCCTATGATACCATGAAGAAAAAGCCATTGCTCTTTCCACTTTAGGACACTGCTCCTTATCACCCTAGGATATATGTGTTCAAGTCCTGTTTCAGCACCGTTCTGGGTCCTGATCCCCTTTGAGATCCCAAAGACAAGTATCTTTCTAGATTCAGGTCACAGGGACCAAGTCACTAGTCCCAGATGGAGACAAAGAAGGCAGCTACCAGTTAAGTAAATCTGTCTCTGCTAAGAGCCAATAGGCCAAGGTCTCCAGAGGTGTGTGATTTAATGGCCTTTCCTGCACTGGGTACACAGCTGGACAGATGGATGGATGGAAGCATGAATGGATGGAGGGATGAATAAAAGGATGGATGGATGGATGGATAGATAGCTTAATCCATGAGGGAGAGAGGGAGTGAGGATTCAGTCTCAGAGCCAGGGATTGAGTGGTAGGCATTTAATAGGTGGCTCAGGTAGGGGGTCTGACCCCTCCCCCAAGAGACTAGAATCTGAAGGCCTAAATGGAAGCCTCTTATTACACACTCCTCCTTGTCTCTCCCCCAACTGATTAAAACGTGGGACAAGGCACTGCCTGGGGAAAGAGAGCAAATTGTTGGAATTCTCTTTTCTTTCCTCACTCTTTTGTTCTGTCTCCATCTGGTGCTCTAGGGGATCAACTAAAGTCACTGGTTACTGTGGTAACAGCACCCCCCCATCTTTAACCAATGGAGCACAGACCCCAAACCCAAGGGACTTACAGTTTGTCCTGCTCTTTTGCCCCCTCCCCAAACATAGACACCTACTTGCCAGCACCCCCTGCCCTATGTGAATATTTAGTGGGGAAACTCTTTCCCAAACTTTCCAGAACGTTGACTTGGTGCTGAGAACACTGAAGCCAGATAACTAGCAGGAGAGAATTTGGGGTGGGGTGGGGTACAATGCAGCCATTCCTGGAGTGCTGTCAGAGCAGCCCAGGCTCCAGGACTCTGGGCAGGCAGGAGGGGAGCCACTCAGCCACCCTCTGTTTCTGCCTGGTCCAGAGCTATGTGAAAACCCAACTGGTCTCTCTTCCTCTGCCCGCCCTCCTCTCCCTCTCTCTGTCTCTGTCTCTGTCTCTGTCTCTCTCTCTCTCTCTCTCTCTCTCTCTCTCTCTCTCCTCTCTCTCTCTTTCTCTCTCTCTCTCTCGCTCTCTCTCCTCCCCCTCTCCCGGTACTCTGCCAGCAGGGCTCTCTCGGCCTCCCTGGCACAGAGCTGAGGGGGCTGGCTCCAGCCCCTGCTCAGGGCCATTGTTTTTCTTCTCAACACCCCCAAGTTCAAGTTCATCTGGGTGTTACATCATGTCTGGTTGCTCTGGGAAACCAGACGGGTCAGACGTGACTCCGGGGAGAGGGGGTGGGAGGCAGGGAGGGGGGTTTGAAGCTCCCCTCCCCTCCTTGCCGCTAGGGAGCTCTGAAGTTCTGAAGTTTGACAAAGTTGTTTCTTTTTGCCTTTTTTTTTTGGCCTTTTTTTTTTTTTGAGGGAGGGAAAGGGGGGGGGAACCCAAACCACACAAAATTTCAACTAACTTTCTCTGGATGCAGGCCTGGCGGCAAAGACACTGAGCTTTAGCAGAAAGAGGACTGCCTTCTATCCTTCACCCACTCTCTTTTTTTCCTCCTTTTGGATTCTGCTGTTCTGTCTCTCCCAAGGCTCAGGAGGAAGGGTAGAAAAGTCTTCCATGGGGTATGTGTGGAACTCCAATAGACTTGACTGTGTCCAAGTCAAGAGGAGATTGGTATGTGCATAGCAGCAGCGTGTTGTGTGTGTTGGGGGAGGGAATCCTTGAAGTGAAGGACGGGGGCATGGGAGGGGGTTGAAGTTGGTCCTCATTGTGCCAAGGGCCTTTCTCAAACTCCATCCCATCTGAGTGTCCATGGAAGACTGAAGAGACTCAGTGTGTGAGTTTGTGTGCTTTTTTTGGTGGGGGGGGGGGCGCTCCCTTTCTCCTTAATAGGACTCAGCTGGGAGACTGGGTATTATCCTGAGATGGGTAGGCTGGAGCCCACACAGGCTTGCTCTGTCTCAGCCTACAGGACATGCTATAAAGCTGATAAGCTCTGAAAGTGGGGAGGGTCCTGAACCCCAGCTATCCAGCCTAGAGCTGAGCCAACTAGTGGAACAGAGTCAAGGGGTACAATGCCCTATTCCTCCCCTAAGGCCTTGAAGTTCAGATTTTCATGGCCTTCCCAGACTTCCCCATCCAGTCAGCCCAACCCCAGCACTGTGGCCTTGGCTGCCTTCCCCCAGGGCCTGGGCTGCCAGGGCTAATTAGCCAATTAGCTGATTAGCCTGTGAGCCTGGGGGCTGCCTGGGGAGTGAGGCAAGCTCAGCCAGGAGGAGGAAAACCCTGGGCCCGGGCTCTGGTTCTGCCTTCTTCCTGGCCACAGACCCCCTGCTCCTGATAGGGCAGAAAAGACTGGGTTACTCTACCTTTCTCTAGAGAAGCCCCATCCTCTCTCCATTTCCCAGTCACAGGCTCAAGAGCCTAGGCGTACAGGATTATAGATAGCTAGAAGGTGCCTTAGCGGTCATGGAGTTCAACCCCCTCCCCACAAAGACACACACACATAAGGCACCTGGGCCCAGAGGGCCAGTGTGGCTGAGCAACAAGGGGAACCCAGGCCCTCTGACTTCCAAGACAGCACATTTTGGATTTTGCTGGCCAGTTCCCCAGCCTCCTAGATGCAGAGGGGCAGATGGGCAGATGGGCAGAGCCCTCCTACCTGAGACTGCTGTGGGATGTTTAGAAAGTTGCCGTCCCGGGGTCCGATGCTGACAAACCGGTTGGCAGAGGAGGCGCCTGTCGTTGAGAATGCTGCGGGGGAGGGAAGGAAGGGAGAAAGGGAGAGACTTGATAAGTCCAAGTTGGCCCTGTCCCCCCTACCCGGACACTGCCCTCGAGGGCTGCTGAGAGAGAGAGAGAGAGAGAGAGAGAGGCTTGGTTAGGAAATGTTATCACCCCATCCCTTCCAGTTAGGCATTGCCCATAGGGACCAACTTAGGAGGGGAGGATATCCTCTGGGCCTCCCCCTGCCCAGATCTCTCTCTCACACACACACACACACACACACACACACACACACACACACACACACACACACACACTCATGGTTTCTCTCAGATGCACATTTATACCCATACTGCATACTATAACACGGCCACACTTGTACTTCTTCTCTCCCTACCCTGCTTTCTTTTTGTTTTTTGTTTTAGGCAATGGGGCCAAGTGACTTGCCCAGGGTCACACAGCTAGTTAAGTGTTATGTGTCTGAGGCCATATTTGAACTCAGGTCCTCCTGAATCCAGGGCTGGTGCTCCATCCACTGCGCCATTTAGCTGCTCCCTCCACCCTACTTCTAAGCCCCAGATCACACCTCTCCTGAGGGCCCCAAAGTATGAGGTAGAGGGAGCTTGGAACACCAGCTCCCTCTCTAGCAGCTCCAATGTCCCCTCTGTTCCTGCCTCACCCACCAGATGGGCACTAGGGGCAGGCACTATGCCTATGGAGCTCAGGTGCTCCTCTAGGCCCACAAACATTATGTTGGCAAAAGGCTTTAGGGCAACATGAGGCAGGAGGGAAGATTTCTCTTGGTGTAGACTAAGTCTGTGGTCACTTCCCAACCTGTTCCACACCAGGAGCTAGTGAGAGAACCTTTGGTCTGACCCAAAAAGGCGACTCTATTCTTCAAGATTAGTCCAGGACTGCTCCTCTTTCCATTGTGGACAGTTCTGGGCAATGTCAGGCAAAGCCATGCTGGAAGCTCAGATTTGGGTCCAGCAAAGGTATGAAAAGAGTCTGACCAGGAGCCCAGTTCAGCCCAATCTCACTACCCCTCCAACTCATGTGGACTCTTCCTCTCTCAGGAGGGGACTGAGTTTAATACTATGGTATTCTCTGGAACAGACAAGCTGAATCAGGCCAAATGGTCCCGATGTCCTCAGGACCTGAGATTGAGGGCCACTATTGCAAGGGCTCATGATTAGACAATACTACTGGGAAGCAGGGGATAGGGAAGGAAGAGGGGGAGCTGTGTGGATGTGGGGTGCTGAAACTTATGTCAGCTTTTGCCTGCTGTCTCTCCAGAAGGGCAAAGAGAAAAATGTGCTTAGAGTTGGGCACTGGAACGGGGTTCCCCACCTTCTTTCTACTGCTGGAACTGAGTTGAGCCCTTACCAGACACACACCAGAGACCACACGCTCACCAAACTCTTCTCCATCTCTCTCCAGTTGAGGCCCCTGCCCTGGTCATTCAGGGTGTACCTTCTCCCACCCTTCTCCCAAGGACCAAGCCTGTGTGTTGGATGGTGAATGGAAACGAGGGGAAGACATGGAGAAGATGGAGAACAAAAGAACCAAAACCATGAAAGAGGAAGAGAGAGACATAAAAACGGCCAACAAGCCAGTGAAAAACATGGAGAAATGAGCCTGCCTCTGCCCCACCACGGTCTAGAGTCTACAGGAAAGCCTTAAAGCCGAGGCGCCCAGCCCGCCTTCGACAGCCTGCTGCTGAATGTGCCCTTCCTTCTCCTCCCATAGGCACCACAGCCCCATCTCTGTCTCCCTCACATCTTCTCCCTGTCTCCGGGCCAGACGTGCCCTCTATGCCTTTTGACTCTTCCCTTCGCCAAAACTTCTTGTTGCTTAGGAACCTTCGGGAAGGGGGGGGGTGAGGCTCGGGGCTCCCTGCCCCTGCCTCTGGATGGGAGGATGGGTGTCGGGAGCTGGAGGGGAGGTGGAGGGAAGAAAAAATAAGAGGAACAACGATGAGAAACCAAATGTAGAACTGAAGGAGTGAGGGTGTGAGGAGGCGCAGGTACTGCATCTTTAAAGGCCTTACGGGATGAAGGGTGAGGTAAAGAGGGAATGGCGGCAAGGTGATGGTGATAGCATTGCCTCGAGACTGGACTTTGTTTCATGTTTGGTTTTTTTGTTTTTGTTTTTGTTTTTGCTTGGTTTTGGTTTTGTTTTTAGGGTTGCATGGGCGGGGGTGGGAAGAACAAGGAGACAAAAAGAAAAAAAAAACAGCAATCACGCATGAGGATGGGATGGCTGCGCCCACCCCCCATTCCCTCCCCGCCAGCTCCCCTTGGCCCGGCCCCGCCCTGGCCCGTGCCCCCTCCCGCCCCCCGGAGGGGCCCGGAGCAGCAGGCAGTGGGGAGTCTGGTGGGGGTGCTGGCTGGGTGGAGGCCACGGTTGGGCTGGGACTCTGTGCTGTGTCCTGGAGCTCTCAGGTGGGTAATGTGACTGGTGCTGGCGGGCCAGGGACTTTTGGTTTGATTCTGGTTTTTCATCGTCCACTTACAGGGTGATGTAGGAGTCAAGGCGGCGCCGTCTGGGGTAGTGCTGGTGGATTTGGTATCAGGCATAGGAAGGGGCACAGGTCTGGCCACTGGAGGCGGCGGTGGTAGCAAAAATGACCCCGGGACTTTGCCCTGGCCACTACCGTTAGGCTGCGAACAACATAAATAGAGTGACGTATGAACGCACATCACATGGCACACAGACACACGCTCCCTGAGCTGGGGCTGGCGGCTCCCTTGGGAGGTACAGCCTCGCTGGCTGGAGCACTGGCTCCCTCGTTAAAGATGCAGTATTTGTCTCCTTCGTGGGGCAGGGGCTGGGCTGGGCAGGGGGTTAGTTTCTCATTTTGGTCTCTCAGATGTTGCTCTTTTTTTTCCTCCTTTAAGTTTGGGGGTTCAGTTGGGTTATCGGTCATTCTTGGGTGGGAAAATGTTTTAAGTAGGAAATTTTCAAAATGCATGTTTTGATATATTATGTAAAAAACGGAAAATGAAGCTGCACCAGGATAAATATATGGCTCCTGCACACTGTCTCCTGTGAAAAGAAAAGACGGCGTTGTGTTGTGCACCCTCCACAACTCACCCTCACCCCCAAGTCCCTCCCCCCCATTAGGCTCCTCTGGCCTGGCTGGATCTGGGCCTAGTGGAAAGAGGGAAGTGACCACCATGCCTTGTAGCCCTCAGCAGATGTCCACATTAAGGAGAAATTCCTGAGGAGAAGAGAAAACTCTGACACCTCCTTATCCCCACCCCACGGCATGGAAGCCCTCTAGATAATAGTATACCTACACTGCTCCATAAAGATAATTTTGCCTTTTATCCTTAAACACTGTCCAGAAAAGAAAATCCATACATTTCAGTTCCATTGTCTAAAGCCTCCAATCAAGTGCTTCCTTCCATCTAACCTAAGTCCCTCCAATAGTTGTTCCAGACACACCCTGACTTGCTCTCTCCAGAGAGAGGATGGAGAACATTCTGACCATCTCCTCTCCACCCCACACCCATCCTTTCTTCCAGCAACATGACCACCAGCTTCAATCAGCATTTCCTCCCGGAAACAGCTACTTAAATCTATGCCCCTCTTCTTCCTCCTGGAATGCATCGAGGCAAGGGTGACATTCAGGTTGTCTCATGGTTAATTCTTTCCGACAGCTTGATGCCCTGCTAGCTTTTCCAATTCCAGCATTTACTATACTGATAACTCCCATTCAGACTGTGGCCAAGGGAGATTTGGCATTTGGGGGTGAGTGTTCTTAGGATTGGGATTCCCCACCCACCTCATCCAGCACAGTGTAGCTCTATTCTTTGTACAGGTGTAGGACCCTGAATACTTCAGAATGACAGCCTATAGGATCATACAACTTAACTCTGCCTATCCGTCCCAGGGTGACAATTGCCAAACAACAGTCTCTGATGTATGTAACCAAATTCATACCCTCTGTTCCACTCTCCAAGTGGAGAACACTGCTAGGAAGTCCTGGACCTGAGCCCCACAGAGTGAGTGACGGTCATTCCCAAATTCTGCCTTTCCCACTAATTCCCCACTTCCCTAGGCAAACAGAAAAGGCCAGAGAGGAAAAGCTTTTCAATGTGAAGGGACAAACACAGAATGGATCACAAATGTTCCTGAGATACAACAGTCGTTGCTTTGCCTTGTCTCCCCAGTCTTGTCCCATTGTGGTAAGAGAATAATCATAACAATAATAATAACTCACATTTTTATAGAGCTTTAAGCACTTCAGAGAGGCCTGAGAGCCACAGGCCAGTCTGGTTCTTCCCCAGAACTGCCTTAATCAGGGCCTAATTCACAGGGATTGGATCCAAGAATTTCACAGGAATCAGCTGAGTGGCCCCAAGTACACTTTGGGAAGGATACGCATAACATTTGTTCCTTTCTATTCTTCCAACACGTTTGTCCAATATGGGGCTCTGCACACAGCAGGTGCTTAATAAATGTGTGTTGAATTGTCATATAGGATTTCATAGGATATTACAGCTTGAAGAGAACTTTAGGATCATTCAGCATCTCGATAAAACAATTGACAACTCTGAATCCCGTTGACCTGAGCCTGGCATCAGAGGTCAATCATTTGAAAATGTCCAAATTTTATAAATAATTTTCAATTAGTTCTGTTCCTCTTCTAGAATCACAAACTATGAGAGCTCATCCTATCCAGTCCACTCATTTTACAGGTGGGAAAACAGAGATCTAGAAAGCAGAATGAAATTGCCCAAGGTCCAACAGCTAGTAAAAGCCGGAACTCAGGCCTTCTGAGTCCAAGTCCAATACCCTTTCCACTGAGCTCTGCTTTGTTAATTTGGCCACAATAAGCATCTTTGGTAAATATGCAAGCTTTTCTAGAAACCAGCACAACTAGTTCTTTTTCTCTCAATTATTTCCTTTTTCCATTTCTTCTGTTTGAGAGAGGTTTTAAATGGGAGGAAGGGAGGCAGAGTTTTCCTATGGCCTCTTCGGAGAGCTCTCCCAAGTTGTGTTTCCATTTTGCCTTGGGCTTTCTCCATTTGGGCCTTATGAGCCAGGGCTTGTACCAAGCTCTCTCTCTCCCTTAGGTGGGCCCTATGGCCTTGGGCCTTTCACCCATCACCAGCTCCATTGGTTTCATCCCTATGATAACCTTAGCAGAGCATCCTTTTCTCTGGGGAGGCTTTGGATGCCCTGCCACAGCTGCCTTCAGAGACTCCTGTAGACCCCAAGCAGTGAGGCTTTTTCCTCTTACTACTTTTCCCCCAAGCACTGAAAAAGTGAGGCCACCCTTACCCACTGCATCTCAGGGTCATCCCCCAGCCTAGCTGGGCTGCTGCAGCACAGGTGCTGTGTCTGTTTGAATCCTTGCGCCTTCTTCCCGACCATGCTTGTCACTGTCAGGACAGGAGTCTGATTCTGCTGAAGGGAAAGAATCCTCTACCTACCGCCAAGACAACAGAAGCTTTCAACTCAAGATGGGAGTGACTAGCAACAGTCAACACAGAGTAAAAACGATTAAGGTGAAGGGCCATTTGCACGATGCCCCCACACCTAAATTCAGGCTACCGGGTTAGACCTTCTTAGTGGGTCATTCTGGTCTGCAGGACCCTAGAAAAGTCAAGCTAGTCCTATACGTGACATGGGGACAGGCCCAGAGACTCTTAGACTAAACGGAATTTCCAGAGCCTCCTAAGCTATCTTAAAGTCAATCTACTCTCAGCACTTCTCTGTGCTGGGATGGGTTTCAGCAGGATCAAACTTAGGTCCTGGTCTCTATCCCTGTCAATCCTAGGGCTAGGTGTAGGTGATGAGAAGGCAAGGTTCCCTATTCTTTGGGAGCCATTTTCCTGGTTCTGAGTTCCTCTGGGACTGGGGAGTAGGCTGTTTGGCACCCTATAGCCCTACAGTCCAAACAAGCACTGGCAGAAAGCACTAGAAACCATCAGGATTATCTGAACTCTTCGCCCCCAGACACCCATACTTTTGGGGACTAATGGTGGAGGTAGAGGTGAATGGAGTGGGAGGAAAGCCAGTGCCAAGAAGTGAGCTACACAATCAGCAACAGACACCCCCACAGGATGGGAAGGGAAGAGGGGGAAGTAAAGAGGTCATAAGATGGGAAGAGAGTGAGGAGGAACCTAGAAACTGAAGAGTCAAGAGGTGAAGAGGTAGAGAGTGACCTAGGCATTGAGTGTTAATGACCTTCACTGCCCATCCTGCCAAACCTGGGAGAAGAGGGGAATGAGGTGAAAACGGTGGTTAAACTCAGTGAAAAGAGAGATGGCTTAGTTCTAAAACCTCTGTCCACTAACCATATTTGTACTAGAGCACCACTCTGAGATACCTTGGGACAACCAAGTGGATATTTCTGAACCTGGAGCATCATGGAGTCCTCCTTCCCTTACTTAGATTCCAGGCCCCAAATGTGGCCAATTCTCCACTCTGGGGACTCTTTAGTTGTCAAGGATTGTAATGGAGCAGCAGAAATGAAAGGATATAGTTTAAAAGCTATGCCTCCCCCTAAAAAAGAACCTTCTCCCAGCCATACGGCATCATCCAGCTGCGGCTCTAGCATTTAGCACAGTGGTTTAGAAACCACTGTTTTCTGATCCCCAACGTTCCAGTAAGGAGATGAGACTATGGCTCCAGGGAGGAGTCTGCTAGGCAAGGAGCTCCTTTGGAAGAAGACCCCTTTGTTGGGTCAGGTTGTCCCAAAGTCCTATTTCTTTATAGCTGGGCACTATATGATATGTCCAAGAAAACAGGGCTGGATTTCAAATGCTTCCTCTCCCTGTCTTGTTCCCCAGAGTCAGGCTTGAGGATACTTTTGGCTCCTTACTGCCCAGCCTCTAGGTGGATCTTGGGATTCACAAGTCTCTCTACTGGCTCCAAGAGACAGGAAGATAGACAGACAGACAAACAGACAGACGGACAGACAGCAGACAGACAGAAAGACTGGAGGGATGAGATTGCAACCCAGGCTTTCTGGGGCTCCCTCGAAGCTCACCTGCCCTGTGGCCTGGCCTGTGCCATCCGAGCACACGAACTGCACAAACTCCTTCAGTGAGTCCTGGCCATGGTGGTGGTGGTAGCGGATGGTCGGGTGGGTGAAGTAAGGACTCGACTGCTGGATGATGGAGGTCGAGGGAAAATGCAGAGCAGAAGCTGTTGCCCGGGGGCTCCCTGTAGGTACCACAGGACGAGAAGTCACGGATAGAGAAGCATAGATACGGCAGGGCTGAGAGGGTAGGGGCAAGGAGCAGGGCAGAAGGCTAAGGATCCTGGGGGTGGGAACGCATTGAGAACTAGAGGGTTGGGAACAAGCAGGCTGATGGAATGGTTTGCTGCTGCTCCCCTGAACTCCATATCCATCTCTCCAGACCTGTGCCCATTATCATTCATGTGTATGAACACAACCCTGCGGTCACACACAAATACCAAGTCTTTCTCCTTGTAGCCCCATCTCATACCAGACACTCCACTAGTTCAAAGATCTCTGATTTAGGAGAGGTAGGTAGTCAAACTTCCCACAAACACAGATTGCAGCCCCTCTACAATTTCATAAATGGTCCCTGAGAGTCCCCATGGCTGAACAATTCATTTGCCTAGCTGACAGCCTCTAAGCTAGTCCTCAGACAACAAACAGAGGCTGTCACTGTCCCTATACTCAAAGCCTTTCAAACATGACAGGCCCTCCTAGAGCTGGGGCTCCCCAGGCCCACCTCCATGCCCCAGTGAGGCACTGGAGAAGGCCTTAGTAGGAGAGAATAAGAGTTGATTAAGTGCTCATATGTGCTAGGGACTGTGTTGAGGGCTTTGTAAAGACCTCATTTGATCAGGAGATAATGGATGCTGCCCAAGAGTCAACGACATTCCCCCCAGATATACAGCCACACATACATAACATTACTACACCGCAAGGGTACATTCTCATCTCAGGCACACATACGTGTGCTTCAGCCCTCCTTCACAGGCACAAGCATATACTGCTGCAATGACTACACAAAGGCACACTCCTCACAGATGCAAACACACTCACAAAGCTCTCACAGGCATATGCACACACTTCACAGACATGAGCACATACATATATGCCCCCCACACACACAGAGGCACACAATCTTCCTTGCACCCCCACCCACCCACTTTAGCCTTTCCCTGCTTCCATGCCTCCCCCTCCCCCTCCCCGTCTGTTTCTAATCAACTAGCTTTTGCTCTCAGTTTCATTAGGGGGCAAAGGAGATTTGGCTTCTCTCTGGAGTTCATAAAAGCAGAGACTGGAGCCCAAGATAATGGGGAGGGGGCTGCCTTCAGACCCTTCTCCCCCCAGACATATTCCCTCCTTCCCTCCTTGAGTCTGAGTGCTGCCTGTCCTGGATTCTCCTGCCTCGAGGCTCCTAGCCAGGGGGCCCTGAATCCTGAAATGGGAGCTACAAGGCCCCAAGCTCCCTGTCTTTTCCACCGCTCTTCAGAAGGGACCAGAAGCTTGGGCTGGGCTTGCATCTAAGGAAAAACTGAAGACCCTGAAGAGGGTGTCCCAGGATGTCTCTAGAGTCTAGATGGAAGGTTGCTGGTGCCATCAGAGCAATGAGAAGTGAACAGGAGACTGACTATGAACACTCCTGACTTCCTGCCAGACTGCACGCTCCTCAAAAACAGTCTAGATGCCTTGGTCACTGGCGGTCCCTTCCCAGGTCTCATCCATCAGAGTGAGAAAAACGGTTATAGGTTCACAGTGCTTAGGGTTAGGATGGACCTAACAGATCACTTAGTCCAGGCCCTTCAATATATAGATGAGGAAACTGAGATGCAGTGAGGGAAGTACCTTGCCCCAAGTCATCCTGACAGAAAGCAGCAGAGCTGGCATGCCTAAGGACAGCAAAGCAACCTTCCGTGGCAGGACTGAGAGGGCTGGCCTGGGGGCTATGTCCCTTTCACTAGGAGCATTCTCATCACACACATATATAGCATATATGCATATTGCCTTCCTGAGGAGCCTAGGCCTAAGGCTCAGCCAGGAGATGAGATGGTAAGGAAGGGAAGGGGGGAAGGAGTTGTAGGAAATGAAGAACACCTTTGCCCATGCAAATGTAACCAGAAGACTCATTCCCAAACATGAAGGAAGAAGGGGACCTCTGGGGAACAAACCTGGATCCAAAACAATTGTCTCCTTCCCCTCAGGACCTTGCTTAGCCTCTCATGACCTTGGAACCTCCTGGCACAGGTCAGTGGAAAGTGGAGAGGGGGACCATATTGAATCCCCAGCCCTGCCCCACTAAGAGCCTCTGCCTTTTGCCACTCTGAGAGGGAAGAGGAAAGGGGCAGACAGGGAAGTCTAGTAGGCCTCATCTAGCAGGCAAGAAGATGCCCTATACCCTCCCTTCCTTGCTGTCTTGATCTGCCCCTATTCAAAGAGAAAGGGAGAAGGGGGAAAGGATTTCACTGCCAATTTGGGCTGCTCCACTGACCCCCTCAGAGGGCTGGGGGAATGAAAGTTGGGGGGCACTACTGTTTAAGGCTGCTTCCCATAATCCTCCCCACAGCCTCCCCAGACCCCATTCCCTGCCCTGGCCTACTCAAAAAGCTGGGGGGAGGGGAGAGATGCCACTCCCAGTCTGGGACCACCCCCATGCCATGCCCTGCTTCCCTGGCCTGGCCTACTCCGAGAGAGCCGGGGCGGAGAGGAGGAGGGAGGAGAGGGAGCACGCCCCTGCCAGTTTGGGGCCATCCCCCACACCCCTCCCACCGGCCGCCCCCTCTTCCCCCCCTTCCCCAACCTCGGTTCTCACCTGGTCTCACTCCAGCTAGCACGGGCAGCGGGTGGTGGGTGAAAGCCATGCGCGGGGAGCTGGTCTGAGAGGAGAGGGCACTGCAGAAGTCCAGCTTTCCTGACTTCTTTAGAGAAGCCGGGCCTGGGGGGGAGGAACCAGCAACATAGGGTGGGTTTAGCAGAGGCCTGGGGGCAAGGTGGGGGTGAGAGGGGGCGCAGTGAAGCACGAGAAGTACAGGCAAGCCCAGCAGCTCCCTCCTCCTATGATTCCTACCCAAACCCAAGGTCTTTGTTAATGCCCTGCTTCCCCCTACCCTTTCTCTCTCCTGTTTTCTTTACCCTGCCTGTAAAACAATAGTAAGGGCACTCCACACACCAAGCTATGGGGTAATGTGTGCCGTCTGGACATTGGGAAAGAGGCAAGCAGAATGGTGCCCAAGACTGTGGAAGGTATGAAGGAGGGCTTACCACTTTTCTACCCAAAGACCCATAGAGGAAACCTGCAGAAGAATTTCCAGGAGCCAGGGCAAAAGTCTCACAGGGTTGGCAGGGAGAGGAAGGAAGGTAGTGAGCAGGTCTTGGGGTGAGGGAAGAAACCAAAGTGGGGCTCACAGGGACAAGGTGGCCAGGGCCCCTACCCTGCATCCCCCCTACTCCCTTCCACCTTGTTTCCCATTCCTGTCTTTTTCCTACTATCTCCCTCCTGGATATGCCCTGGGTATGACAGCAGCCTGGACCTGGAGAGAGGGTGGGGAATCAAGGAAACCCCCAAATCCGATGTCTTTCTTTGTTCTTACTGAGCATGGGTGCAGGAAAGGGAGTGCACAGTAGCCCTGGGGCCATGGTTCTTCAAGGAAGGGTAGGATTTGGGTTAGAGGGAACCCTGGACAGGGCCTCACACGACAACAGCAAAAAGCAACACCATCAAGGACAAGGACAGCTAACATTAAAGCACTTTGTCACACACTCTCCCAGATGACCAGATAAAGCTGGGGCAAAGCCTGTCAGAACTACTCCCCTCAGGAATGGAACATGGTTAGAGGAAGGAGATGAATGACTGGGTCACACAGAATGGACTATTCATTCTCCTGAGGCATCATCACTAGATTCTGGGGTTGCCACCCAGCTGAAAATGAGGATGCAGAGAGAGAGAGAGCCCCCTGCCTGTCCCTAATTCTGACAGCTCTGGGGTTGGCAGTTACAGATGTCCCTGGGCTTAGCTGGTGCGGTGTCTGAATACTGCCAGGTTAGAGCAGGTGCTACTCTGCATGGCTTGGGGGCAGTGCCCTCCCCCTTGGCAGGAAGGACTCTTGCATTGGTGACAAGGGGCACAGGAGGCAGGAGGTGAGTTTAGAGGTGCCAGGACTGGGAATGGGAAAAAAGAGGTGCCAAAGGCTCTAGGGCTGACTTCTTCAGGGGACAGCCAAGCTGAAGAGATGTGACAGTCATCCAGACCGCAAAGAAGAGGAGGTGGGGTAGGGGAGTGGGGAGAGGAGAGAATGGAAGGAAAGAGCAGGAGAGCTCCCAGTCACCAGCAGAAGTGTTATCTGGCGGCAGCTGCGTGCCACCTGATAGCTGGCATGACAGTGGGGGTGGGGGAGCTCCCGCCAGCTGTGCACAGCTGTCCCCACTGCCACGCAGCACCTCCCCAGCTGTTCCTGGTCCTGCAGCTGGGCTGCTTAATTGGCGATTTGTCGGCAGCACAGGGAACAACATGAATAGAGTCGTTGAGGGAGAAGGGAGGGGGAAGAAATGGGGAAAGAAGAGGAGGGACTCAGGAGCTGGAGACTAGAGGGCATCTGTCCACAGAAACAGGGGCTGCAGGAGGATGGGGGGCACTAGCAAGGCTGGAGAATCCCCAGTCCTAAACGTGACACACCAGGAGGAATGTTGGTACGGGGGAAAGGAGAGATCCACTAGAGAAGAGCCCAGGAGAGAAGGGGGCCTCACTCCTCACTACTTCAGAGTCTCATGGGACTGGCTGTCCAATGCCAACTTCATAGCACTGTCAGGAGGGCACTACTACTATATTCTCCCTCCCCATGGGACACCTTCTATAGTCCAGAGAGGAGCAGCTGCCTAGCACTTAACGTTTTTTCATGCATTCATTCGTTTATACATTTGTTCACTGGCACTGGGGCTTGGAAGCCTTCTCTCCTACCCTCTAGCCTACCCAGTGCATTCTCTACAATTACTTTCCCACTTCTTCAGTCTCATTCCTCCCTCCATTCTCACTCCCATCTCTCAAGAAAAGAACCCAGAACCCCTATTTTGGCTGGCCTAGTCCACAGGGAGCCCCAGGAACCACTCCAGAACAGCAGCTGTCCTATACAGGGCAAATTTTGGGAAGAGCCTAAGGATCTCAAAGACCCACTGTGGACATGAAGATAAGCACTTATCTTCACATTCTGGGGAGCAAAAAATAAAACAAAACAAAACTGAGGCATAGAGCTTGCATTTGGGGGACAAAGAGGCAAGAATGAAAGACAAAGCAAGAAAACGCCCAGAAAAGCACCCCTTTCCTTTCCCCATCCACTAAATCCTTTTCAAAAGGAGGGAGACCTCAACCCAGTCTAACCCAATCTAGCCCAACCTAGACTAATTCACAGGGCTTATCTGGCCCCCATTCCTTGCTTTGAAAGCTCTATAAAAAGCAAATAATGCTCCAAGGCAACAGCGCTTTCCATCAGGTAAGTAGAGTCCCTAACTCGTCCTGTATACAAAAATAGACACCACTCAGAGGCCTGATTGTTCACATGCCCTTACCTACGTACATACCCAGGTACCCCTACTCAGGAGCTCACCCATCTGGGGGTTGTGCATACACACAAGAACGCTCACATCTACACCCATGTGACCACATCTGTGATCCAAACATTGCGCAACTATTCTCTTTTCATCTACACATCTACACACAGTCACCATGTGACCATGTTCACCTGCCCTGCCCACAAGCATTGAGATATGGTACCATTCTATTCACAAGCACACAAGCTACATGTTCATTAAGGCATCAGGCATGTAATCTCCTTACAAGGTACACACATATCCACACAATGAAGTATAACTAGGTAACATGCCAACATCCTCCTCACGTACACACTCATGCTCACACATTCCTACTGAGGCATCCTAAACATGCACTCTTTACACACAGCTCCAATTTTTTACAAAACTCTAACCTCACAACCTGTGGGACAAACATGCCCACATATATGACCCTTACACGCACCAAGGTGTTGTATATATGCCCTCCTTACAAACACGTAAGTCTATATTCACAGACAGCCACCCACATGTACACAGGTATAACCTGGGTTTTTAGAGGCATTGCACACAGACCCTCTTTTCACATACACAGAAGTCCATATTTCTTCAGGTCTGAGTGTCAGACGGTGCCAACTGACCTCAGAAGGAAAGCGGGTAGGCTGGTTCAGGGATAGGGTCTCCCTACCTTGGAAATACTCAGAGGGAAATACCTAAGAGAGGTTCACTTTTTCTTAGGGTTAACTCGTTCCATGGTTTCTTCACAAGACCCTCTCTTCTATCGAAACCCCTCAGTCTGATCTAAGAATCTCTCCACCCTCTCTCCCTTTCTCTTGGGCTCCTCTGTTTTCTCTACAAGTGAGTACTTTGCGCAATGAAAAAGGAACCATAGAATTGGTGGTGATTTGATTGAAAAAAGCCAGTAACAAAGAGCCTAAGGGGGAACTGAAAGAAAAATGAAAACTTTCTCACTATATAAAGCTGGAGGGTTGCCTTCCTTGGGTCTCTGCCCTCCATGCCATCTTGATCACTGAGCAATGTTCACTTGCAAAAAGGCAGCAGAACTCTTCCTCATACATTTTGCCTAGCCTGGCTCTCATTGGGAAAGGGTGGGGTGAGGAGAGCACCCCAAACTTGGCAATGTGAGGCCCCCTGGGGCAAAGCCAGAGGGAGCATGCAGGAGGGCTAGAAAGGAAAAGGAATATCTTTGCTGTATATACCTAGGCCTCTTACCGAAGTGGAACTTATTGGGACTGAAAGGGGAAAGGGAGTTTACCCCAATTTAGGACTAGCCTAGACTCCCTAGTGCCTGACTCCCTGCTCTAGGTAGGGCACTGCTAAGATAACTGTACCTGCATCCACATCATTGGGCCAACCACTGGACTGGCTGCTGCCAGCTGCTGGGGACCGTCCTGTCCCAGGGTAGAACACGTCATCCACGGGGCTCTCCATCTCGCTGTCATCTATGGATTTAGGGCGCTTGGTGGTGCTGAATGGAGAAAAGAAAGAGAGTCAGAAGGGGGTAGAATGGGGAAAGAATCCATGAAGTCAGTCTTAGTTTTCCTAGAAAGGCACCCATTCCCAAGAGGTAGGGGGAAGGAAGGGAAAGGGAAGAGCTGGCTAGAGTTGGGGTAAACCCCTAGAATTTTGAGAGTTCTTACCTAGCAATACTGGCAAATACTGGGGAAAGGCAGCAATCCCCTTGCCTTCTGACATTATCTGGCACATGCAGGCCTGGGGTTGGCATCCCTATGGAACTGAAAAGATCCCACCATTCCCAACTCTTAATAGGTACCAATGTCTATAACCTCACTTATTCATTATTTATCCCTGGGGCATGCCAAAGGCCTAGGATGATGTGTGACAGAAAGGCAGTGAAGACCAGAAAGTTCAGTGAGTGCTGAAGGCCATACTTACCTGGTGGAAGGAGGGGAGGTGATGGACCGCCGCCCAAGAGTCACCTGGTTTATGTTGTAATAACTGGGGCTCTCCAAATCCGCCAGGGAGAAGTTAGGCCCTGACGCCGTAGCAACAGGAGCTAGATGGGTAAGAAAGAGGACTGTGAGGTCAGAAAGAACAAGACAGACTGGCCTTTGTTTGGATCCTATCTTTAAGAGGTTAGAACAGGAGAGTGCCTTCTGGATCAGAGAAGACTGGGGAGGCTCTACCAGCTTGTGGCAGATCCTTCTCTTTGATCAGACTCTCTAGGAACAACCAATGACCAAGAGCATCAGACCTATTCTGCGGTTGGAGGCCCAGGATAACCATGGGTACAGAACCATGTCCTTCCTTAGGTGAGGAGGGTCTCCCTACTGACAAACTCTTTAGAGTACAAATTTTCTCCTCCATGGTGGTGGAGATCAAGGCATCAAGCCAGTTTTTTTCTTCCTTAGGGTCTGTATAGCTTTGCCCTGGATTGACTCCTGTTACAGGAATAAGCCCCACCACAGCAAGGGGTGGGAGTAGGGACTGTGTGGGGTAGAAGAGAAAGAAGGCTCCATCTGGAGGGATCCCCATCTGCCCTCTCCCCAAACCTAGCAGAGCAAGTTCAGCAGTGGCCAGACACTCAACACAGGGGCAACAATGGGGTCCCTCCCAACCCAACTTCCTCAACCAGACAGGTTCTGGGCTTGGAAGGAAGGGGGTTCACTTACTCTGTGATACTCTGACCAGCTCAGTCACATTCCAGACCCCAGAGGTCACAAAGCAGTCTTGGAAACTTAAGTGCCCTACAAGGGAGAAGAAGACAGGTGAGGCAAGAGTAGAGAGAGGAGGGAACTCTGGCATCTCTTGCCTCCCCTCTCAGTGGAGTCTCAAGGCTCTACCCATGCCCTGACCTCCAAGTTTGCCCTGGAGGGGATAGTGTTGGGGCCATGGGAAGTGGAGGGCCCCAGATGACTCATGGGTCCTTCCAAATGACCCAGAGACCCATGAGAAAGGGGAAGTGGAAGGAAGGACAAAGGCAGGTCAGGGATGAGTGGGAGAGAGCAAGGGGAAAGGTACTCACCATTGGGCAGTGGTTTGATGTCCGCATCTCCTTGCTGGTTTGAACTGTCTGATTGTCCGGATTCTGCCAGGAGATACAAAGGGGCAGATGGGGTTAAGCTCAGGTTTCACCCCAGGGCAGACCATCAGGCTACCCAGGAATAACTTAATCCTAACTCCCTCTTCCCCATTCCCACTCCACCCCACCTAAGAGCCATGGCCCTGATGTCTGCAGAGGGGAAAACTCCCAGAGATCTCAGAGGAAGGTCAGGAGAGAAAAAAAGGGGGGTTCAAAGCAAGACAAGGATGAAGCTGGGGAAAGAATTCAGCTCCCAGACCAGGTTTCCTCCCACAGCTAGAGAGGCCTTAGGAATCCCCATCCCCCACATCCTTTGGCTGGCAGATGAGATGCTCCTTTAATTAATTAACTCCATTCCCAGCCATTCTTTTATGCCCGCCTCCCCCCACCCCCATATACACCCTACCCCACCCTACCCTTTCACCTTTAAGCTTGCAGGCAGTGCCTGGCAACCCAGAGGGGGGAGGTGTGCCCCCAACACTGTCGCCCATTTTGTGCCAGCCAGTCTGGGGCTGTCTCATGCCCCAGTGCCACAGCTGCTCAGAGCTCAGACACAAGGGTCCTATTGTGCAGCTCTCAGAGAGGCAGGGATAGTGTGTGTGTGTGTGTGTGTGTGTGTGTGTGTGTGTGTGTGTGTGTGTGTGTGAATATTTTGCTGAGCTTGGGAAAGCCCCCTTCCTTCTCTATCCCACTATCCCCCAATGCTTTGTATGCCAGGGGCACTACAGGGACCTCCAGAATGCCCGCCTGGGCATGGCAGTTGGCAGAAGGCTAAAGAAGCAGGGAAGCCAGAGGCCAGTTGGGGGTGGGGATATAGAGAGAAGCAACATGGACACCTCTGAGAAAGGATGAGGATCACCAAGAACAGACGGGCCAATCCCAGTAGCCAGGTTAAGGCAAGTACCTAGCTAGATTGGTACTGGGCTGTCAGCAGGTGTGTAGGGGTGGGATTTCTCCCAGAGGGAGAGAACTACAGAGCCCTTTCTGGTGTGATGTCTGGGAATTTCACTTCAGTGACTCCTGATCCTGGAAGTCAGAGAATGCCAGGATTCTCATCAGATTTAGAGCTAGAAGACACCTTAGAGATCATCTAATCCAATCTCCTCATTTTATAGATGAGGAAAATTGAGCCACCAAGAGGTTTAGCAGCAATGTCATGTAGGCAATAAATGGAAAGCCTTTTGACCCCAAATCCAATGTTTCCACTACATGCCATTACTTGTGTTCTGGGGAGGCTTGCCTGCAGACTACTGCCCCACCATAACCCTTCCAGGTCCAGGTGTTGGGGGAGAGAACAGTGGGAAAAAGGGAAGGGGGACAGTTTCTACTTCAACCACAGAAGAGGAAAACTGTGATTAATAACCCCAAAATATTGCAGGTTAAGGGAAGTCTGCACCAGCATTCTGGAAGGAAAGGCCCTTCTACATCTTGGACCTGGACATCACTACAGAATCTAGATCTTAGTTTCCCTGACTTGGCTCAGCCCACAGTGAAGGGCAAAGACTATGCCCCAATCCAACCAGCCTGTACTGTGCCAGCCCTGGTCTCCTACCTCCCACATAGCTTTTACTGGGTAGGGAGAGGCAGCTGTCTACAGGGCCATTTATTTGCATGCTTTCCTATGCTTTGGAGGGAGCCTATGGGAAAAGTCCTCCTTAATGAGGAATCCAACTAAAGGAGCTGCCTAGAAGGGTAGCTTCTCATCTAGAGAAGTACAATGCTAAGGGAAAGTAGGAATAAATAGATTTCTAGTCACTTTAATTTTCAGCCTCTTGAGCTTCCTAAATAATTACAGAGTGAAATTAGAATTAGAAAGTATCCAAAAGTGAAATGGGCTAGTGAGTTTCTATTGGTAAGATAGATTGGTAAGATTTCAAGTAGAGGCTGGATGACCATTTGTAGGGGATTTTGTAAAGGGAATTCCTGCTCAGCTTAGGTATGGGTTTGTCTAGATGACCTGCAAAGTTTCTTTCAACTCTTACATGATTCATCCTGGATCTGAGCTTAAGCCCCAACCAGCCTGGCTAAAGGATTACTGTTATTGCTAGGTATTTGTGGGACCATAAGGGGCAGTTTCCTCACTACCCCTACCACCACAACCACCACCACTCTCCCCCCAGGATCCTCAAGACTGATTCCCTTGCACAGTGGACAGAGCACCAGCCCTGGAGTCAAGAGGACCTGAGTTTCAAATCCAGCCTCAGACATTTCACACTTACTAGCTGTGTGACCTTGGGCAAGTCACTTAACCCTGACTGCCTCAAAAAAAAAAAAGATTGGTTCCCTAACCATAGGTTCTGTAGCTCATCTCCACCTTCCCATAAGCCTAAGTTCACAGCCCAATAGGCCTGGACAGAGATTGCCCCAATGTCAATCTAAAGACCTAAGTCAGACTAGTCTAGGAACAGAGGGCCTCCAAGGAAAGATGCTTGAGTTACAAGCAAAGATATGAAGCTGCTAAGAATCATTCTATCCTCTCCCCAAGTCAACTATGGTAGAGGACATGGAACCTTTGCCCACCAAAGGAGCTGATACAGTTGTGGCTTTGTGGGGAAAAGGGTAAGGGGGAGCCCTGGAAGAAGCAGGCATGGCCCACATTCTGTTCAAAAAAAGGCCCATCTCCTGACCTAACTCAGAAAAGTCCATGAAGCTGGAGACCAAAAAGCTCATACTCCAATGTCCTAGAGCTGCTTTGAAATTCCCCTTAGAAGGCATGTACTCCTTGAGTTGTCCCATTCCATTCCAAAATCATCAGGTGAAATCAAGAAGACAGACAGACTGACAGGCAGACAGACAGACAGACAGACAGACACGCACATGCACACAGAGGAAGACAAAAGGAAAGAGACAGAGTCGGGGACAGGGACAGGGAAGGAGGCAGGGATTCTAAGACTGGGAACTTGGGAAAGCGAGCAGTGGAGAAATCGTTTCTCCACTAGAAAATTACCCATAAACATGATTAGTAGCACTATTGTCGTCGTTGTTGCTGTTGTTACTTTAATTGAAAGGCAAAGAGTAAAGGTTTGGGCAAGGGATGTTTTCTTCCCCCAGACTAAAAGCAGATCCAACTAGTCTGAACCCCTCTGCTTCTCTTCCCGTTCGCTTCTGGCAGCCATTTTAAACCTTGGCAGCCATCTTACTGCTGGCGGCTCCGGCCAGAGTCCCCACAATGCTGACAGCCGCCAGCCCCCGAGATGCTGAGCTTAGCCCCAGGACAAAAGACTGAAAATTTGGACATGGGATGGGTTGGGAGGGAGGCTGAAGAGCCAACCTAGGGGCAGCTGGGTCCGTGTCCCTCTGTTGTAGATGTAACCGAATACACCACTTGCACCCTTTTGGTCGACTAGGGCTGAGGATATGGCTGTTTCTCTCAGGAAGGCCCTATTAATACATCTAGCATACTGATAAGTTAGTATCTATATGGCACTTTAATATTTACAAAGCACTTTACAAATATTGTTTTGTCCTCACAACAACCCTAAGAGATATTATTGTCTCTTTATTTCGCAGTTGGAGAAACTGAGGCAGACATAGATTAAGTGACTTGCCCAGAGTCACACACCTAGTAAGTACCTGAGACCAGATGTGAACTCAGGTCTTACTGACTCCAGGCCTAGAGCTGTATCTACTGCACCACCTAGTTGCCAGTATTCTCCAGGACTAGGGACCCAAATTAGTTAAATATATGAGACCCATTACTAAGATAGGGAAATTGAGGTTCCGGGGTTGGATGGGAGGTCACAGGTGGCAAAGTCTTCTCTGTACCTTCAGGAATGGTGGAAGGGTTAGAACAGAGTAGTTCTAGACGCGATGTCAAGATCCTTTCCTCTAAGACCCCAGCAATGCTGTTTAGCACTCCTTAGGGGCTAGGTCCCCTGAGTAATGATATCCCTTCTCCTCTCCTCTTACTCCCCACCCTCAATCTGTGGATCAGACTTGGCTCTGTAACATGAGGACACCATGGGCAAGCTTCTTCCGCATGCTTACACATCGCCGAGTGGGTCGGGGTGGGGGTGGGGGGCTGGGGTGACATTCTGTAGTTATTCCCCTGCTTTTCCTAGAAGCAATGTCCCTGGTCTCTCCTCCCTGGAGACTGGGGCCCTGGCTAGCTCTGCTTGAGAAGCATAGTCTGTCTTCAGGAAGGGGTTCCCAGCCCACCTGCGTCATCCCATTCTCTGTCTCAGCTCCTAGAGGACCCTTCAGGCCAAGGGCAAGGCAGCCAAGGGAAGAAGAGGAGGGAGGGAAGGAATAGCTCCTTCATCACGCCCCCTCCCCAGCCCTGATCTCAGAGCTCTGGCTTTTATCTGGCAGAATATGGCTTATCGGAGCCACCAGCTGAACAAACACACAAATCCACGGTTAGTGAGAGAAAACACTTTTCCTGAACTCTTTATCTCCTGTTCACAGGCCCTGCTTGCTCCCCACTGCCAATAGCTCAGGAGGGGAACTTTGCTGCTGAACAGCTGTTTCTGCCTTTATTCTCTGCTTCTAAAGGTGGAGGGTTTTCACGCCGTCTCTGACTGTGTCCCTTCCTCAGTCTCCATTTCCCCATCTCTCTCGGTTGTTCCCTTCCTTTCTTTCTCTCTCCCCAAACCCCAAACACTCCTCACCTCCCAATTCCCTACTGGTGTGTATGGCTGGGCACACATTGATCTCCGTTCCTTCACTTTAGAGGCTGCTTTCTCATTGAGAGACAATAGGCCAGCTGGTGGCCTGTGGGTAAGGGAAGGGGGCCGGGAGGATGTTGGCTGGCATGATGAGGGCAGGTGCCCAGCTTCCTTCTTTATCCTCCACAGCCTAGGGCTTCAGCACTCCCCAACCACCACCCCCCACCAAAGCCTCTCCCACTTAATTCCCCACCCTGGCGCAGTCCACATGCTCCCAGAGGATGTGTTCTGAGGCAGAGGTCTCCCCTACAGCCTTTACCACAGAAACAGGCACCTATCCCATTGCTCTGGGGCCTAGCCTATATAGACCCAGCTCAGTATCTTCACCCAGCTAGTCAC